GAGGCAGATTTCAGTGGGAAATAGGAAACACTGAGTCTGATTTAGAAGTAACTTTGGCAATTAGGTCTCTAACACCACCACCACATACTAAATTCCAGACAACAGTCAATTATGAGGTGGTATGTTATTTCTCCACCACCTAGATTTTTCCCCTCATCTATCTGAACAACCATAAATACACGAAAATTTGCCTTTCCCATTAGTTTTTTTTAGTTGGAATCCTTTAAAATTTTATGTGCCTTTCATCTTTTAGACCAACAGTCTTACTTTCATGTTTAAAGGCAGTGACCATAACCGTTAAGTTAAACACAATGACTTAGATTGCCTAAATTTGAATATAGGCTTTTACCTACTAGCTGGATGAGTCTCTGGACTTCTTTTCCTCAACTATAAAATGGGTATAAAACAGCAGCTACTTAGACCTGGCGCTGTGGCTCACGCCTGTAATCCCAACACTTTGGGAGGCCAAAGTGGGCAGACTGCTTGAGCCCCTGAATTTGAGACCAGCTTGGGCAACATGATAAACCCTCCCCCTCCTAACAAAATACAAACAAACAAAAAATTAGCCCGGCGCAGTGGCATGCACCTGTCGTCCCAGTTACTAGGGAAGTTGAGGTGGGAGGATCACTTGAGCCTGAGAGGCGGAGGCTGCAGTGAGCAGAAATCGCGCCATTGCACTCCAATTTGGGTGACAGAGTGAGACCGCGTATCAAAAACAAAACAAAACAAATGAACCAGTATACTTATAAAAATAAACAACAAGCCGGGTGCAGTGGCTTATGACTGTAATCCCAGCACTTTGGGAGGCCAAGGCAGGTAGATCACCTGAGGTCAGGAGTTCAAGACCAGCCTGGTCAACATGGTGAAAACCCATCTCTACTAAAAATGCAAAAAATTAGCCGGGCGTGGTGGCCAGCCCCTGTAATCCTAGCTACTTGGGAGGCTGAGACAGGTGAATCGCTTGAATCCAGGAGGCGGAGGTTGCAGTGAACCGAAATCGAGCCACTGCACTCCACCCAGGGCAACAAGAGTGAAACTCCGCCTCAAAAAAAAAAAGAAAAAAAAAGAAAAAAAAAAAAAAAAAAAAAAAAAAAAAAAAAAAGAAAATAAATAACAAATATAAAGCACTTTAAACAGCAGTCAGTCCCTGGCACATCAGAGTTATAACCATAAAATAAAGATATGCAATCTTCTGAAGTATGATTCACGATTGTGTCTTATCTTTAACTCAGCATTAAAAATGAATTATAAGCAGAAATGTGCACCAGATTTCATATCATTCTAAATTTAAATGGTTGAATGTGTCCTCCTCAGCTAAGCATCTTAACAGCCACTGATGAGCAATCTAGTAAATTGAATTCGCTCAAAATAAAGAGGCTTCCCAAGAGTTCCCCCCATATCACAAATTAAGAGCTCTGATAAGACACCAACCAGAATCAATTAAATGTATATATTAACATGTACAAACCATTGAGTACCCTAAAAAAAAAAAGAGTAAGATCTTACTCCAGTTTAGTAGTTAACAGTGACAAAACACAAAGCAACTTGTAATTTCTATGAAAAACTTTAAATATTTTTCCTGTAAAACCACCAAAATAATTTAACAACAACAACAAAAATCCTAGGGGAGATAACAAAAATCAACTTTTGCATTTGAAGAAACGTCAAAAGGTACACTGAAAACTGACTCCCTGGGAAAGATGACAGTTTATTTTACTATTAATTTCAAAGTTTTCATTCACAATTAGCATTTCATTCTTTTATCTTTTAAATAGATACAGGCTCCAGCACCTTTCCAAATACTGAAATTTACTGGTTTTTGTTTCCGATCTATGACTTTTTCTTTAAACTTCTGGATCTATCGGTTTAAAAAAAAAACAGGAAATAAAAGACAGCCTCTTGTTTAAAAGGGCACGACAATCAGGCACTCCATACTTAAAGTATGTTTTCACTTGTTAAAATGTCTTAACACTATTCTAGTAAATATCTCAAACTTAATAGCACCCTAATTTCCTTTCAAATATTGAATATAAAAGACCTTAGAAAAGATCAGCAGTCTACCAAAGTACAAATATAATTCTACTGAGGAGTGACTACCAACCACTTTACTTTTGGATAAGGTTTACACAAGAACATGACTTACTACTAAACTAAAACATGAACCACTATAATTAACTCCGTATTTTTCTGGTAAGCAATAATTATCAATGTTAAAAATATTTCAACAAATATGACAAGCCAACTTCAGAGCACAAAGTTGGCAGATAAAATTGACACCACAGCACAATTTCAAAACTATAAGCAACTATTAAACACGCACACCACACCGCACCACACCCATTCTTATGTAAACTTTCGGAGTACTCAACTTTGTGAGCCTCACCTTTGTTTTCACCTAGCATAAGGAGAGTTAAAGGTGAGACACCAATTGCAAAAAACTAAAAGATCAAAAGATTCAGTTAATGTCCCCACAGGGGAAACGACTAAAACCTTTAAACGTTAATGTATTTAAGTAATCGAAGGGCAGGGCACTTCCCCAAGCTACAGCCATTTTAGATTCAGACTTTCTTTCGAATTTCACGGGTTAGGGAGAACTAAATTTAAAACAAGAGGAAAAAAAAAAACACTTAAAACATTTCAGGATCGACCAGCTTTCCCCGCCCCTCCAAGGAAAGGAGGTTGGTAGACATTGGATAGACTCAATCTAAACGAAAACACCTCGCTACCACAGAGAACCGGAAAGCTGGGGGTTAAAACTTTTTTCCCCTCAGATATCCAACATTTGACTTATACTTTTTCGTCCTCAGGTTTTCCTTTGAAGGAAAACAAAAGCCCTTAGCTTTCATTTCAAGAAGGAAAGAAAAAAACCCTTAAGCCAAGTCACTCAACCAGCACCAAGCCGCATCGCCTGGAGAGGAGCCAAAGAGCCGCAGGTGAGCGTTCCGACTCGAAGACCAAAGTTAAAGTAGGAGCGCTTTCGCGGAGCCCCGGCGACGCTCGCGTGCACAGCTCCACGCACGGGGGTGGCAAGGGTGCCGCGTCCGAACCACTTGACCCGTGGGCTCCGCTCGCCCCTCTCGGGTCGGACCTACACCCAACCACCTGTGTGAGAGCTTCTTTCAACTAGTTTTAACAGCCGGTTGGTTAGGCACCGGGCGGAGCCTCGCGCCGGAACGACTCCAAGATCTCCTACTGCCCCGTTGTCCCAAACTCCCACTCACCGGGCAGCGGCGGAGCTACGGCCAGGGACTAGACGCGGCGTCTGAGGACGCGTCCCCAGCTTGTCGACCCGGCAGAGGCGTTTAGTTCACAACCATAACAAAGCTCTTCCCAAAATGGCTGCCCGGCCCACAAGGTCCAGGAGGGGCAGAGCGGGTGGAGGAGGAGGAGCGACGAGCAGCACGGCCCTCCCCTCCCCCGTCCGACCCCGCCTTACACACGCCCACCTGAAGAAGCGCATGCGCATGGGACCGGCTCCGGCGGCCCAGCCGGACGCCAGTGCCCCACGCTGCCAACGTTCGGCCTCCAGAACGGCGGTTATGCCCTGCCCCGCCCTCGGCTCCCTTCCTCGCCGCTTGAGGCGGTGCGTGGTCGCCTCTACCTCCTACAGAATTGAATCCTCTGTCTTTCCTCGTGCCGCCTGAGGCAGGGACAAGCCTAGTTTAGTACGCCCCTTCTAACCCCCCTGCCCACTTCCAGGGCCTGGGCGCGTATGAATGAGTGGGTGGGTATGCATATGTGTATCCCTTTTTTCTTCACCCTCCCACAGCCCGCCCCTGGGTCAGTGCGCGTCCCGAAACTACCTCTACAAGGACTTGCAAGCCGGTTTCGGAGGAACGTGTTTTCCGGCCCTTTCCCACCTTCTGCTCCTTACTTCACGTGTGCGCGTCGTTGAGACTCCAGCCCCCAGCGGGCCACACGGCCTGCTCCCAGAGACTGCGCGGCTGCGTCGGCCGCGCTACCCGCTGGGAGTAGTAGTTCCCCGGGAGCGCAGGCGTCACTGCCCCGCCCCAGCGAAGGGCGGGATTCCGGCGAGAGCCTGCGCTTGTGACAGTGCCGTTTCTCCTACCTGAAGTCTCATTGGGTATCGCGCTACTGGAAGGGGCGGCGCTGCCATGACAGAGGAGGCAATAAAACTGAAGGCCTAGCTCGACCAAAAGCGCTTTAACGGACTTCGCTGTGGCTCCATGCGGCACGGAAAGCTAAACCTTGTAATAGCTGGCAACCAGGAAGCTAGACTACCTAGAATCCGGAGGACTGGAGGGACTGGCAGGCGTGGGCCCCTGAGATCTCCTATTACATGTCTTCAGCTTTATCCATAGACACGGAAGGACACTTAAGATTGCCTGGTGCCATTTCCTGTGAAATAAGTCCAGATAAGAGAAGGGACTTGCCCAAGGTCACATAGCCGAGAAAGCCGAAGGCAGCAGAAGAAATTATCTGACTTTCCCAACCACCCCCAAGCCTAGGGCTCTTATCACCACACCGTTCATGGAAGTGAAAATCCTGCTCTTTTGCTCTTTAATCCTTAATGAAGTTTCTAGGTCCTAGCAAAGAAAATGAATGTAAGAACTGGGCTTTTTTCCCCCTTTAAATGATAGTAAAGGGCCGTAATGCAGAGTGAGATGTGTCCCCATAGGTCTTATAAACCCTGTTTTACAAAGTAAAACGTTAAGTTCCACAGATGGCAAGCAATTCCAGGTCACATTGGGCCTAAGATCCCAAGTCTCTTACCTTCCTTCACCACCATCATTCTGAGATTGTTTCAGTACTTGCACTCTACCTTCCCGAACTCTGTGGGCAGATTCTGCTGCCTGGGAGCCCTGGAATAAAAAGTCAAGGACCGTTCGACATCTGGATCCAACTAGAAATTAAGAATGGCCCCCAAACAGAAAGCCGGGCATAGGAACCAGTTAGCGCAGGTCAAGTCCCTACCCGGACTCATTTTTTTTCAGTCCTCAGGAAGTAGGGGGCTCTCTGAATCCACTTGCCGGAAGTGCCTTTCCAGTAGACCTGGGCTATTGTTGCGGTTGTTCTCCACCTCTCCGTGCAACGCTGGCAAGTCTCAAAGTCGCCACAGGTGCAGGTTGGGATGGGAGGCACCAAGGATTGGTAGTAAATTGGAGACGCGGGCACTATCGGGCAGGGTTTCCCGAAGACACTGGCGTCTAAACCCCGCCTTCCTTTCTCAGAGGTCAGTTTGAAGTTTGCGGTTTGCAGTCTTCCCACTAGGGCAATGGGAATATTGAGCTTTTTCATTTATATTAGGAGGATTAAGCTTTGAGTCTCAGTCCTTAATCCCGCATCACCTGCCGTCCCTGGTCTTTAGGTTATCACTTTTTAATATCCACTAGTTGGAAAGCACGTGCCACAGAGGAAAGGGAGTGTCCAAAGGTGGGGAAGATGGTTGAGATTTTAAACGGAGTTATCTGGAAAGTCCTTACAAAGAAAGTGATTTTGCACAAAAGTGATGGGTACGCTCTGCGGACATTTTGGTCTGGGGCTCAGGTGGGTGGGTGTGGGTGTGTGGGCCTTCTACTCGGAGGCCCAGGATAACTTACCTCCCTACTTCCTTAAGTATAGCATGAAAACATTAACTGGTATACAGGATTTCGTGACCCAGCCCTAAGATCTGTGATCAATAAATTAGTTCAATCGGTTTTTTTTTTTTTTGAGACATAGTCTCGCACTGTCGCGTGGGCTGGAGTGCAATGGCACGATCTTGGCTCACTGCAACCTCCGCCTCCCAGGTTCAAGCAATTATCCTGCCTCAGCCTCTCGAGTAGCTGGGATTACAGCCGTCCGCCACCACGCCCAGCTAATTTTTTGTATTTTTAGTAGAGTCGGGGTGGTGGTGGTGGGGGGTGTTTCACTGTGTTGGCCAGGCTGGTCTCGAACTTCTGACCTAGTGATCCACTCGCCTCGGCCTCCCAAACTGCTGGGCCTACAGGGGCGAGCCACTGCGCCCTGCCCAATCGATTTTTTTAAATTAAGCAGCAACTGTAGGTTTTTTTAGACATCCCATTCTCCTGGTTAAGAATGAAGTTGTCAGATCTAGATCCGTATTATTATCATTCACCTGTTTTTACTGGCTGCTTACATTAGAGTTTTCAATCAGTCCCTCCTGTGTAAAGTGCTTTGTGTCAGGGACAGTTCTCAGCTATTTACATGTAGTAACTTATTAAGTGTTACATCAGGCTAAGTGGCACACACCTGTAATCCCAGCACTTTGGGAGGCCGAGGCAGGTGGATTGCTTGAGCTCAGGAGGTCGAGACCAGCCTGAGCAATATGGCAAAACCCCTTCTATACAAAAAATACAAAAATTGGGGCCAGGCGCGATGCCTCACGCCTGTAATCCCAGCACTTTGGGAGGGCGAGGCAGGTGGATCACGAGGTCAGGAGATCGAGACCATCCTAACACGGTGAAACTCCATCTGTACTAAAAATACAAAAAAAATGAACTGGGCATGGTGGTGGGGGCCTGTAGTCCAGCTCCTCAGGAGACTGAGGCAGGAGAATGGCGTGAACCTGGGAGGTGAAGCTTGCAGTGAGCTGAGATGGCACCACTGCTCTCCACCCTGGGCGACAGAACAAGACTCTGTCTCAAAAAAAAAAAAAAAAAAATTAGCTGGGCGTGGTGGTGTGGCCTGTAGTCCCAGCTCCTTAGAGGGCTGAGGTGGTAAGATCCCTTGACCCTGGGAGGTCAAGGCTGCAGAGAGCGGAGATCACACCACTGTACTCCAGATTGTGTGACAGAGCGAGACCCTGTATCCCCAAAAAAAAAAAGTTACATCAACCCTATGAATTAGTTAGTACCCTTATTTCAAAGGTGAATGAACTACACCATAACAAGGTTAAATAATTTGTTCAAAGACACACAGCTAATAAGTAGTGGAGCCAGGATTCCAACCAAGTTTGACACCAAAGTCTGCACTCCAACAGGCTATTCTCTCTCTCAGTACTAAGTTAATGAGGTTATTTTGAGCATTAAATGAGTTAATGCTAGCCAGGTGCGGTGGCTCACGCCTGTAATCCCAACACTTTGGGAGGCCTCAGCAGGTGGATCACCTGAGGTCAGGAGTTCAGGACCAGCCTAGCCAACATGGCAAAATCCCATCTCTACTAAAAATACAAAAATTGGCCGGGTATCGTGGCGGGAGCCTGTAACCCCAGCTACTTAGGAGGCTGAGGCACAAGAATCGCTTGAACCCAGGAGGCGGATGATGCAGTGAGCCAAGATCATGCCACTGTACTCCAGCCTGGGTGACACAGCAAGACCCTGTCTCAAAACAAACAAAAAAACCTAAATTATATTGGTTTGGTACTATTGTTATTTTGAGTTGTGAACTCTTAAGCCCCAAAGTAAATAACTAAGGAGAAAAAAAGGAAACAGAGAAGCTATGACCTTCCAGTTTTTTTTTTTTTATTTCACAAAAATGCCATTTAGAAGACCCTTCATTTTAAAGATGAGAAAACTGGTACTCAAGCAATTTGCCCAGTGTCACACAGCTAGGAAATGGTGAAAGTATCTATAAAATCTCTATGTGCATTACTCTTTCTATTACACCAGACAGCCAAAGCTAAAAGAACAGTTCAGGTATTAAAAGGATCTATTTCGTGTTACCGATAGTTTGAAAACATTAATGATTCTTTTCAAAGGAAACTGATATATTCATGAATTACTACTATTTTAAAATTAATGTATAAAATGAGGAAAATTAAGTGACATCTTGTGTTGTACACAGAAATGCCCCTGATTCAGTGCCTCCACTTAGCTGCAACAACACGTTAATCCGAACTGCCTGGCATCTTCCTAAACAAGACTTTCAATAGGGGCCAGTATGCTTCGCTTCATCCAGAAGTTTTCTCAAGCATCTTCAAAGGTTGGTTTGTTTAGCAAATATTTGAGCACTATTTGCCAAATATTGCTTGGGCTAGGGCAGCAGCAGTGAAAAAGACAAAAAGTCTTACCTTTGTGTATTCAGGTGATGGAGGGAAGAGTTAAGTAAAATACAAGTAAAATCTTTATTATATCAGGCTGGGTGCAGTGGCTCACGCCTGTAGTCCCAGCAATTTGGCAGGCCAAAGTGGATGGATCACTTGAACTCAAGGAGTTCAAGACCAGTCTGGGCACATGGCAAAACCCTATGTATACAAAAATTTAGTTGGGCATGGAGTCACACGCCTATAGTCCCAGCTACCTGGGAGGCTGAGGGAGGAGGTTTGCTTGAGCCCAGGAGGTTGAGGCTGCAGTGAGCTGAGATCATGCCACTGCACTCTAGCCTGGGTGACACAGCAAGACGATGTTTGCAAAAAAAAAAAAAAATTGGCCAGGTGCCGTGGCTCATGGCTGAAATCCCAGCACTTTGGGAGGTTGAGGCAGGTGGGTCACTTGAGGTCAGGAGTTCAATACCTGCCTGGCCAACATGGTAAAATCCTTGTCTCTACTGAAAAATAGAAAAATTAGCTCAGCATGGTGGGCGCCTGTAGTCCCAGCTGCTTGGGAGGCTGAGGCATAAGAATCACTTGAATCCAGGAAGCCAAGGTTGCAGTGAGCCGAGATCACGCCACTGCACTCTGGCCTGGGTGACAAAGGAAGTCTTCATCTCAAAAAATAAAAATTAAAAAAAATAAGGCCAGGCACAATCACTCATGCCTGTAATCCCAACACTTTGGGAGGCCAAGGCGGGCGGATCACTTAAGGTCAGGAGTTTGAGACCAGCCTGGACAACATGGTAAAACCCTGTTTCTACTAAAAATACAAAAATTAGCTGGGCGTGGTGGCGGATGCCTGTAATCCCAGCTACTCAGGAGGCTGAGGCAGAGAATGGCTTGAACCTGGGAGGCAGAGGTTACAGTGAGCAGAGATTACACCACTGCACTCCAGCCTTGGTGATAGAGCAAGACTCAGTCTCAAAAAAATAAAAATTAATACATCAAATGGTAAGTGCTGTGGAGAACTATAAAGCAGGGAAGTGGAATAGGTAGTGTCAAGATGTAGGATTGAATTTATAAATGGCAGGGGATCAGAAATAAGTAACTGAGGGAAGAGCAGTAAATATGGAAATGGGAAATGGTTCCAAGATGGAACCATTCCTAGCATGTTTGAGTGATCACTGAGATTCTTCAATAACTTCAATTTTTGCTGGGCGCGGTGGCTCACGCCTATAATCCCAGCACTTTGGAAGGCTGAGGTGGGTGGATCACAAGGTCAGAGATCAAGACCATCCTGGCTAACATGGTGAAACTCCGTCTCTACTAAAAATACAAAAAATTAGCTGCCAGGCGTGGTGGCAGGCACCTGTAATCCCAGCTACTCGGGAGGCTGAGGCAGGAGAATGGAGTGAACCTGGGAGGCGGAGCTTGCAGTGAGCTGAGATCAAGCCACTGCACTCCAGCCTGGGCAACAGAGAGACTCTGTCTCAAAAAAAAAAAAGAAAAAACTTCAATTTTTTCTTTAATGGAACACTTTTTAGTTCAAGTCTGGTAACTAAAACACAGAATCAGCAGGAAAGGTTATTACTTTGCCCGTGTACAATGAAAGGCACTGGGGATTTTAAGCCAAGGAAAAAAATACGGTCCTGGCTCTCAAGTCTACTGAGACAAAGACAAGTAAACACACAATTTTAATTCACTGTGAGAAAAATTATGATGGAAGTGTGCACAGGATACTTACTATAGGAGCATTAAATCAGACTGTAGAAGGGTAAAGGAAAGCTTTAACTTGAATGTTGAATGTTGAGGTAAGTCTCCTAGATAGAAAAGTAGTAAGAGCTAGAATTCTAAGCAGAGCCTACACAAAGGCATGGAACTGTGAAAAGTATGTGGTGTTTATAAAGCTAAGTTGGAAGGTAGATTTATTTTCTCCATATAAAAACAGCATTCTCACAGTAATTAGTGCTGCTTCTTTTACTATTTATAAATAAAAGAGGCAGTTTAGAAGGACAAATTCTGAAGGTCTAGTCTTTACCTGATCCTTTTTCAGATATTTTTCTTATGGAATAAGATTAAGTGGTAGGTTGAAATATATCACTGGTTTGTGTTCAGTGGTTTCTTTTGTACATTTTATAGCCATTTAATACTTTTACCAGCAATAACATCACTTCAGAGTTAGTTCATCCTTTCTGTATAGTTTGATGTGGTAATGGAAAGCAGATCTTTTTTGTTTGCTCCTTTCAAACAATTCCAATTGTTTCATACTGGGATTGACTAAAATCTGATGATACATATAGATTTTTAATTTTGTCTTTTGGTTCTGTTTTCTTTATAGATGCTGAAGTACTCTTTCCCAGTGGGACTAAGAGCCAGCAGAACAGATATACTTTCTCTCAAGATGTCTCTCCAGCAGAACTTTTCCCCATTTCCAAGGCCTTGGCTTTCCTCATCGTTTCCGGTGTATATGAGCAAGACACAGTGCTATCATACATCCCCCTGCAGCTTTAAAAAGGAGAAGCAAGCACTTCCAGCCAAGTCACCAAGCACCATCAGTTACATAACTGACAGCCCAAAGCCAGCATTATATGTAACTCTGGCAGGACTAATCCCCTTCGTTGCTCCACCACTGGTCATGCTGATGACAAAAACTTATATTCCCATATTAGCTTTTACTCAGATGGCTTATGGAGCCAGTTTCCTATCTTTCTTGGGTGGGATCAGATGGGGTTTTGCTCTACCAGAAGGTAGTCCAGCCAAACCAGACTACCTTAATTTAGCCAGCAGTATAGCTCCTCTTTTCTTTTCATGGTTTGCCTTCCTTATTTCTGAAAGACTTAGTGAAGCCATAGTCACAGTAATAATGGGTATGGGGATAGTATTACACCATGAATTTTTTCTCTTACCACATTATCCCAACTGGTTCAAAGCCCTGAAGGTAGTAGTCACTTTATTGGCTACTTTTTCATTTATAACCACTTTTGTAGTTAAAAGTATTTTTCCAGAAAAAGGACATAAGAGACCTGATCAAGTATAAAAAATATAAAAATACACTATAGATAACATTAGTATGCCGGCTACACCTTCTTCTACTTCTGTTTGGCTCTTTTTTCCCACACCAATGGTAATTTATTCTTCATAGATTGTTCTTCATTTCTAGAAGTTGTTATTTCATAGTAATTACTTGAGCAAAAGCTTGAAAATCCCTGACAAGTACTTTTCTTTTCTTTTTTTTTTTTTTTTTTGAGATGGAGTCTCACTCTGTTGCCCAGGCCGGAGTGCAGTGGCCGGATCTCAGCTCACTGCATGCTCCGCCTCCCAGGTTTACGCCATTCTCCTGCCTCAGCCTCCCGAGTAGCTGGGACTACAGGCGCCCGCCACCATGCCCGGCTAATTTTTTGTATTTTTAGTAGAGACGGGGTTTCACCATGTTAGCCTGGATGGTCTCGATCTCCTGACCTCGTGATCCCCCCGTCTCGGCCTCCCAAAGTGCTGGGATTACAGGCTTGAGCCACTGCGCCCGGCCGACAAGTACTTTTCATCTCATAGTATATTAGTTTTCACTCAGTCATTTTATGAATAGTTATCCACTTAAACATTTCAATTATTTTAACTGTCTTGAAAATTAAAATAAAAGATTAAAAATCCCCTTTGTTAGAGTCCTGTGATCATTGAAAAGAATGCACATATTCTCCCACTTCAAGCGGAAAACGTCCTATCTGTGAGTGTCTGGAAAGAAAAGGTAGTTCCATTGAGGAGTTTTCACAGGAGTTACTACTGGGAAATGCATGTACAAGCTTATTTCACATGGTGTAACCCAATTATATGAGCCAAAAGGATCTATGGTTCTAAAGTCAGTAGGGAGCAGTGTCATGAGGGAAAGCCACATTCAAAGGTAAGTCGGGCATGTTTTCCAGTTTTTATTAGGATATTTGGCATGGTATAGATACAACTTATCCCTTACCACCAAACACATAATATAGCTAGTCAAAATGATGATTTTTAAAGGAAACTATTTAAAATAAAGCCACTAGTACATATAAGTTAGGAAAGAAAAGTCAAGCTGGAGCCATCTTGATATTCTAATGAGCGGGCCTATTTAGTTCTACATCTTTTTTTTTGAGACGGAGTTTCATTTTCATTCTGTTGCCCAGGCTGGAGTGCAGTGGCACGATCTTGGCACACCGCAACCTCCGCCTCCCGGGTTCAAGCGATTCTCCTGTCTCAGCCTCTCTAGAGTAGCTGGGATTATATGCAAGTGCCACCATGCCCAGCTAATTTTTTTGTGTGTGTTTTTAGTAGAGGTGGCATGTCACCATGTTCGACGGGCTGGTCTTTTAAATCAGAGAGAAGCTTTTAACTTTGGTGTGTTTTTGTTTTTGTTTTGTTTTGTTTAAACACAGGGTCTCATGCTGTTGCTCAGGCCGGAGTATAGTGGTGTGGTCATGGCTTACTGCAGCCTCGACCTCCTGGGCTCAAGCAATTCTCCCACCTCAGCCTCCTGAGTAGCTGGGACTACAGTTGTGCACCACTATGCCAAGCTAATTTTTACATTTTTTGTAGAGACAGGGTCTCCCTATGTTGCCCAGGCTTGTCTCGAACTGAGCTCAAATGATCTTCCTGCCTAGGCTCCCAAAGTGTTAGGATTACAGGTGTGAGCCATTGCACCCAGTGCAGAAGCTTCCTTAAAACAGCAAAAGCAACTCCTTAGATTTTCACTTGAAAACCTAATCTCGGCCGGGTGCGGTGGCTCAAGCCTGTAAACCCAGCACTTTGGGAGGCCGAGACGGGCGGATCACGAGGTCAGGAGATCAAGACCAGCCTGGCTAACACGGTGAAACCCCGTCTCTACCAAAAAAGACAAAAAACTAGCCGGGTGAGGTGGCGGGCGCCTGTAGTCCCAGCTACCCGGGAGGCTGAGGCAGGAGAATCGCGTGAACCGGGGAGACAGAGCTTGCAGTGAGCTGAGATCTGGCCACTGCACTCCAGCCTTGGCGACAGAGTGAGACTCCGTCTCAAAAAAAAAAAAAAAAAAAAAAGAAAGAAAACCTAATCTCTAATCACCCTACTTAAGGTGGAGAAAAAAAAGAACAAAAAAGAAAACCTAGTTTTCTGAAATTCTTAGTCTCACCAAAAAGGAAAAACATTTAAAATGGTATAAGAATATAGATCAGGATATAGTATAACCTGGAATTTTTTTTTTTTTTTTTTTTTGATGGAGTTTCACTCTTGTTGCCCAGGCTGGAGTGCAATGACGCTATCTCGGCTCACCACAACCTCTGCCTCCCGGGTTGAAGCAATTCTCCTGCCTCAGCCTCCCAAATACCTGGGATTACAGGCATGCACCACCATGCCCAGCTAATTTTGTATTTTTAGTAGAGACAGGGTTTCTCCATGTTGGTCAGGCTGGTCTCAAACTCTCAACTTCAAGTGATCCGCCCGCCTTGGCCTCCCAAAATGCTGGGATTACAGATGTAAGCCACCATGCCCGGCCTGTACATTTTTTAGAGATGATGTTTCCATTCAGTCTCAAAACAATCTGATTCTACTCAGATTGTTTTGATAAGGAAACTCACTTCTTTGTTACTAAATTGCATGGATGCTATACAAACTTAAGACTTTTCCATAATCTGAATTAAATGAATTATTTTCCAGAATAGAGGCAAATCATATTTTTAGGCTAATTGCCTAATTTTACTCAAAAAATGCTAGTTTCCAGGTGAATTACAGTGTATGCTTCTTTAAGAAAACTGGTTTTTAAGTACATTTGATTAAGTATATTGGCAGGATACTTAGAAGCATATCGGATTGTTAAACATTTTGGAGGTAGATCACTTTAATCATTTCTCAAAAAACAGAATTAAATGTAAAACTAAATATGCAAGTCCCTAAAGTAAAAACAAAACCAACTAAAAAACTTGTGCAATCCTACTACAGTTTGGTAACCCAGAATGCCACTGATAAAAGTAATACAAAGAAACAAAAAAACTAGATACTTTATTAGTACATTCTTTTAAAAACAATCTTGTTGGCCTGGCGTGGTGGCTCACACCTATAATCCCAGCACTTTGGGAGGCCAAGGCAGGCAGATCACCTGAGGTCGAGAGTTCGAGACCAGCCTGACCAACATGGAGAAAACTTGTCTCTACAAGAAATACAAAATTAGCCGGGCGTGGTGGTGCATGCCTGCAATCCCAGCTACACAGGAGAGTGAGGCGGGAGAATCAGAGGCAAAGGTTGCGGTGAGCCAAAATCGTGCTATTGCACTCCAGTCTGGGCAAAAAGAGCAAAACTCCATCTCAAAAAAACAAAACAAAACAAAACCAATCTTGTCATTACCTAGGAATAATAAGCATATTTACAGTTACCACAGTTACCTATTTTCAGGGATCTTCAGGACCTGTTAAACACTGACTGCTTTGACATTACATTTCTGCCAAGCTGTGCAAAGCACCCCCCTCCACAGTGTCATTTTCAGTTGCTACTAGACAATAATGAGAAATTAGTTGTAGAAGTATTTTGTAAATCTGTTTTGGATCAGAATACAGATTCTCTGTAACTAGAAATAGTAAAGGCACATGAGTTAGAGCTTAGTCTATAAATTATCTGTATACTTTATTCTTTGACATCTTACAGATCTCTACACAGACATCTGTGACCCTTCAGACATTCAGGATGCCCCAGAGAAGGGAACATAGGGCTTCCTGCGTGCATTACATAAACTTTTCCTAATAAATACACATGGTTAAGTTATAAGGAAAGTATACTTGTGGACTAAACCAAGTATTTTATTTTTTTGAGACGAAGTCCTGCTCTATGGCCCAGGCTAGAGCACAGTGGCATGATCTCAGCTCACTACAACCTCCATCTCCTGGGTTCAAGTGATTCTCCTGCCTCAGCCTCCTCAGCAGCTGGGATTACAGGCATGCACCACCACCTGCTGCCAATTTTTTGTATTTTTGGTAAAGACAGGGTTTCACCATGTTGGCCAGACTGGTCTTACCTCAAGTGATCTGCCCACCTCAGTCTCCCAAGGTGCTACGATTACAGGCATGAGCCATGGTACCCGGACTAAACCAAATAATTTGGATATGAGTGCTACCTGATTCATTAATGCAATTAAAAGTTTTCTATCTAAATAAGTTGATGATGCTTATAATAATCTATGGAAGGACCTTAGTAAAGACACGGGAAATCGGCAGAGCGCAGTGGCTCACACCTATAGTCCCAGCACTTTGGGGGGCCAAGATGGCGGATCACAAGGTCATGAGTTCAACAACAGTCTAGCCAACATGGTGAAATCTCATCTCTACTAAAGATACAAAAAATTAGCCAGGCATGGTGGCTCACATCTGTAATCCCAGCTACTCGGGAGGCTGAGGCAGGAGAATCGTTTGAACCAGGGAGGCAGAGATTGCAGTGAGCTGAGGTTGCACCATTGCACTCCAGCCTGGGTGACAGGGCAAGACTCCATCTCAAAAAAAAAAGAAGAAGAAGAAACAGGAAATCAAATCCTTAAGTCAACCAGTTAAATTTTACTGTATGCAGCTGGGCACGGTGGCTCACACCCATAATCCCAGCATTTTGGGAGGCCAAGGTGGGTGGATCACCTGAGGTCAGGAGTTCGAGACCAGCCTGGCCAACATGGTGCAACCCAGTACAAAAAATTAGCCGGGCATGGTGGCAGGCGCCTGTAATCCCAGCTACTTGGGAGGCTGAGGCAGGAGAATCACTTGAACCCAAGAGGCAGAGGTTGCAGTGAGCCAAGATCATGCCTTTGCACTCCAGCCTGGGCAACAAGAGCAAAACTCCATCTCAAAAAATTTTTTTTACTGTATGCAAGACCTTTAATATATATTGCTTCAACTGGCCAGTAGACATAACTTAAAAGTAACTCCATCATACACCCAGTGAATCTTTCTCTTAAAAATGAACAGAGAACAATTTTTTAGAATGCTTTTCAGGGAGAAAATGAGAAGTTTTGAGAAGCAGTTTTGTTTGGGTCAAGGGGTACTTTCAAATTACATTTATAAGTCAGTGTCTATAAAAAGTTTCAGAAGGACCTACAATTTAGCCCTCCACGTCCAAGAAGTAGCTTTGTAGTATGCTCTTACTTAGGTTTGCACAAGTACAAATAAATTTCACAAAGCTTGATAATCTAATAAAATTCCCTCTTCCTAAAGCCAAACAGATAATTTTGGTGACAACAATCTAGCAAAAAAGGAAAAATTTCCTTTTTTCTTTTTTTTGAGACAGGTTATCATGCTGTCACCCAGGCCAGTGTGCAGTGGCACAATCTCGGCTCACTGCAGCCTCGACCTCCTGGGCTCAAGTGATCCTGCAACCTCAGCCTCCCAAGCAGATGGGACCACAGGCACAAGCCACCACGCCTGGTTAATTTTTATATATTTTTTGGTAGAGACAGAGTCTCGTCATGTTGCCCAAGGCTGGTCTCAAATTCCTGAGTTCGAGCAATCTTCCCGCCTCACCTCGGTCTCTCAAAGTGCTGGGATTACAGGTGTGAGCCACCATGCCCAGCCTGAAAAAGAGAGAAATTTCTAGGTGCATACTGCCTGCTGGGCTCTATAGCCCATTACAACATCTGGTCACTAAGAACCTCCTATTAATTCCTTACTTGCATTCTCAGGATCAAGACAAAAAATATGAGCAAGCAAAAACTTATCATCAAGCAAAAAGGTATCTATCTATAAAAATAGCTAGATATTTCCCAAACACCCCTCCTAGTGTATCTGCTGCCAATAAAAAGTTTGGGGCTAATGAAAACTCTTGGCATTAAATAAAAGTAGGAATCTGTTTCATTGGCTTTTCTCTGTAGCTCAAACAATGGTCATGGAAAATTATGCTCTGGATACAATTGTGAATATACAGAGATCTTTAAACTGTGTCATTGATACTATTCCTACATCACATAAAGGTTATGTTACAACTTATACTGCACTGGAGAAGTAGCTAAAGGGACTATTTGCCAGGAAGCTTCTAGTAAATAATTTTTACAAATTTGTAAAACCAGACTTGTCTACACTTAAACTGGAGAATTCTACAGCATAAGTGGCATTTCTATTATTAGTAAGCTTGGCAAATCTGTGTGAGCTCTTTATTAATTGGGATATATTTCATATCCATTCTCACTCATATTTTTAGAAAAATCACTCTTTAGTTTAGTTTTTTTCTTTAAGAGACAGGATCTCGTTCCACTCATGCCCAGAGTGGAGTGCAGTGGCATGATTGTAGCTTACCATAACCTCAAATCCCTGGGCTCAAGTGATCCTTCTGCCTCAGCCTTCCAAAGCGTTGGGATTATAGGCATGAGGCCACTGCACCCAGCCTCGTTAGTCATTTATCTACCAAATACATGGAAAACTCATAGAATCAGAGGGTCTTATCATCAAATGTATGTTTGCTTTCCAAAAGGTCAGGTCCTGCATTTTCAAAATGTTCCTTGTGCTCTGTTATGCTTTATATCTCATAGCACAGCAACGCCCCCTTCACAACGACTGGTGATCATATTACCAATTTCTGTCCATGTATCTGAATGAGGGTTATAAACTTCAACTGAGTCCAAGGTACCTGGAGCCAAGAAATCATGGCTGGAAGATCGACCTCCAGAAACATACAGAAGACCATTGACTGCCACAACACACATGCCTGCTCTAGGCACTTTCATTGAGGCAACTTCAACCCACTTTTCCTGGTTAAGAGAGAAAAAAAATATGTTAGCAGTATTATGAAATGATAGTAAAGAAATCCACTGAGAAATTCGATATTCCAATTCTTTTTACATGTCTAAACGTAAAACAATCTAGTCAGGTAAGCGCATATATATATATATATATATTTTTTTTTTTTTTTTTTTTTTTTTTTTTTGCTTCTTTTTTTTTCCTTGGAGACAGGGTCTCGCTCTGTCACCCAGGCTGGACTGCATGGCACCATCTCGGTTCACTGCAGCCTCAACCTCCCAGACTCAAGAGCTCCTCTTGCTTCAGCCTCCTGAGTAGGTAGGACTACAAGTGTATACCACCACACCTAGCTAATTTTTCTATTGTAGAGATGGAGTTTCACCAGGTTGTCCAGGCTGGTCTTAAACTCCTAAACTCAAGTGATTGTCCCACCTCAGCCTCCCAAAGTGCTGGGATTATAAGTGTAAGCCACAGGACCCGGCCCAGAATGTTTTAAAATAAACTTGAAGTGGGCATGGATAAAAAGTAAATTTAGAGGAAAATAATTTTTTAAAAGGTCTGATTATAAAATATGATCAGGAAATGACCTAGAAATCATACATAGGACAACATCCTAAGAAACGAAGTCTATGGAACACAAGTAGGTAATACACTCAACAATAAGCAAATCAAAACAAAAGAACCACAAAGCTCCAAGGCTGTCTCTTATACACATCTAGATGTGTATAAGAGACAGATTGCACTCCAGTCTGGGTGACAGAGCGAGACTCCGTCTAAAAAAAAAAAAAAAAAAAAAATTACACAGCATGGAACACTTGACAAATTTATTTGACCATGGAATGGCAGTGAGCTGAGATCTGGCCACTGCACTCCAGTCTGGGTGACAGAGCGAGACTCCGTCTCAAAAAAAAAAAAAAAAAAAAAACAGGCACAGTGGCAGACGCCTGTAGTCCCAGCTTCTTGGGAGGCTGAGGCAGGAGAATGGCGTAAACCCAGGAGGCGGAGCTGGCAGTGAGCTGAGATCTGGCCACTGCACTCCAGTCTGGGTGACAGAGCGAGACTCCGTCTCAAAAAAAAAAAAAAAAAAAAATTACACAGCATGGAACACTTGACAAATTTATTTGACCATGGAATCCTTTTTACAAGGAGCAACCAGTGGACTTAGTAATCTGCAGAACATATTTTCAGAAAGGTGGGCTAACCAGGGGTTGGGAACTATAGCCTACTTTGCTATAGCCTGAGAACAAACAATGATTTTCCCATATTAAAAGATATTTCAAGAAAAAGAAGCAGCATTTATCAAAAAAGGATATTGTGTGTGACCCACAGGCCAAAAATATTTACTATCTGGCCTTTTACACAAAAAGTTTGCTAACTCCTGTTATACATTGTTCCCTAAAGAAATTTCAATATGCTGCTATAGCCAAAATGACTAGTAATGTCTTACTTTTTCTTTTTTCTTGAGACGGAATCTCGCTCTTGTTGCTCAGGCTGGAGTGCAATGGTGTGATCTTGGCTCACTGCAACCTCCGCCTCCGGGGTTCAAGCGATTCTCCTGCCTCAGCCTCCTGAGTAGCTGGGATTACAGGCACCTGTCACCATGCCTGGCTAATTTTTAGTATTTTTAGTAGAGATGGAGTTTCACTATGTTGGCCAGGCTGGTCTTGAACTCCTGACCTCAAGTGATTCACCCACCTCGGCCTCCCAAAGTGCTGGGATTACAGGCATGAGCCACCACGCCCAGCGACTAGTGGTGTCTTACTTGAGGGAAAACGTCCATACTCAGAAAACAAGAAAGCTACTAAAGGTCCTAACAAGTAATTAGGAGAGCAAAGAGCAAGCAGCCTGGTAATGGGAGAACAGATTATCAATCTTTAAATAAAGCATATGATGAACAAAGGTTTTTTAATCATAAATAGTGAAGACTGATTATTCATCAACGCTAGAAAGTAAATTTTTAAGGACAGTACCCAAATAGGTACTAGGATAGTGCCATCACATTATAAACAGTTAGTGTACGTTTGCTGATGTGAACTTAAGTAAGATTATGAAATACTAAACCAGGGACAATTCTTTGAAAGTGAAGGACCAGATTAAATTTGAAATTATAGAGCACATCATCTGAAATTATAGAGCACATCACAAAGCTGACATAACTGAAAAAATACTTATATTTTAAAAGATAAATACATTCTCAAGAAGATCCATTTCTGGTTAAGATAAATTAGGATAATTTAGGTTATGTTTATAATTAGGGAGAACCTTTGCTTTCCCGCAAAATGCCCCTTGACAATAACAAAGGGACCTTAGGACTCATCCTATATTGTTCCTCTTTCATTTCTACCAGTGTATTACAACTACAGTTTAACTTTTAAATTTTTATTACTTTATTTTTAACTGACATGTTCTCATCTAATTTGATTTTTATCCCCTGTTACCTCTAAAAAAAAAAAAAAAGCTCTGTAAGACTACTAACATGTTTTACATTATCTTTTCTGGATTTGTAATGCAAATTGTTAGTAGGTAGTCAATAATAATAAAATTTCATATTTATGCATAAAAACCAAGGTAACACATTGTTGTTGTTGTTGTTATTATTATTATTACTCGAGACGGAGTCTTACTCTGTCGCCGAGGCTGAAGTGCAGTGGCATGATCTTGGCTCACTGCAACCTCTGCCTCTTGGGTTGGAGCAATTCTCCTGCTTCAGCCTCCCAAGTTACTAGGATTACAAGTGTGCACCACCACTCCCAGCTAATTTTTGTATTTTTAGTAGAGACAGGGTTTCACCATGTTGGCCAGGCTGGTCTTGAACTCCTGATTTCAGGTGATCCACTCACCTCAGCCTCCCAAAGTGCTGTGATTACAGGCGTAAGCCACCGCACCCGGCCGGTAATAATTATTAATAAGACTTAATTTGAAACTAAAATCTATTCATTTCAAAGCCATATAGAAAAATTCGCAACAGAAAGTGCCCTCAAAAAGTTCACTTTCTGTATCAGGTAAACCCAAATAGGATCATGGAGAAAGGAATTAAAAAATGTCACCAAAGTTTAAAACTTGTCAGAAATGAGAATCAAAATCCTTATGCTTTACAACAAGACATGAAAGTCCATTTTTGCCACTTCAACATTGTACTGCTGGTTCTAGCTAGGGTAATGAGGGGAAAACAATGAAATAAAATGCATCTAGTTTTAATCCAGATTTAAGAAGAAGTAAAACAATCTTTTTTTTGTTTTGTTTTAAAGACCAGGTCTTACTCTGTGGCCCAGGCTGGAGTGCAGTGGTGCAATCATGACTTACTACATCCTTGACCTTCCTGGGCTCAGGTGATCCTCCCACCTCAGCCTTCTGAGGAGCTGGGACTACAGGCGTGCACAACCACACCTGGCTAATTTTCATATTTTTTAAAGAGACACGGTTTTCACCATGTTGCCCAGCCTGGTCTGAACTCCTGGGCTCAAGTGATCTACCCACCTCGGCCTCCCAAGGTGCTGGGACTACAGGTTTAAGTCACTGCACCCAGCCAACAATATTTACAGATGGTAGGATCTTGTATTTAGAAAATCCTAAGGAATCCACCAAAAAAAAATAAGACTATGAGTGCAGCAAGGTCGCAGAATAAATTGTATTTCTACACACTAGCAATGGACAATCTGAATATGAAATTAATAAAACAATTTATAACAGCATTAAAAGGAATAAAATACTTCTGAATAAATTTTAACCAAAAAAGTACACGAAACTGAAAATTATAAAACATTGTTGAAACAATCTGAAGACCTAACTAAAAGGAAAGACATCCTATGGTGAATCAAAAGACTTATTAATAATGTTAAGTTGCTGATACTCTCCAAATTGATCTCAAATTCAATGCAATCGCTGTCAAAAACCCATTTGGCTTCTCTGCAGGAACTGACAAGCTGATCCTAAAATGCATATGAAATTCAAGTTACCCAGGAGAGCCAAACAAATTTTTAAATGATCCAATTTGAAGGACTCACACTTTCTGATTTCAAAACTTACTACAATGCTGTAATAAGACAGTGTGGTACTGGCAAAAGGATAGAGAGACATACAGATAAATGAACAGAATAGAAAGCTCAGAAATAAACCCTCACATATATGGTCAACTGATTTTCAATAAAGGTGAAAATTCAATTCAAGACAATTCAATGGGGGAAAGAACAGTGTTTTTAATCAGTGATGCAGTGATGCTGGGACAACTGGATACCCAAATACAAAAGAATGAGGGTGGATCTCTTCCTCACATCACATACAAAATTAAACCAAAATGTATCAAAGACCTAAATACAAAAATTAAAACTATAAAACTCTTAAGAAAAAAGCATAGCTGTAAGTTCTTATGACCTTGGATTAAGCAATGCTTTCAGTTATAACAAAAGCACAAGTAACAAAAGAACAAAACAAATTGGACATCAAAATTTAAATTTTTATGCTTGAATACCACCAAGAAAGTGAAGAAAACACACATAATGGGAGAAAAAATTTGCGAATTATATATTCGACAAAGGACTTGCACCTAGATTATATTATTATTATTTGAAACAGAGTCTCGCTTTGTCACCCAGGTTGGAGTGCAGTGGCATGATCTTGGCTCACTGCAAGCTCCGCCTCCCAGGTTCAAGTCATTCTCCTGCCTCAGCCTCCTGAGTAGCTGAGACTACAGGCACCCGCCACCATGCCCCGTTATTTTTTTTTGTCTTTTTAGTAGAGACGGGGCCTTCCTTTTTTTTGAAATGGAGTCTTGCTCTGTCACCCAGGCTGGAGGGCTCACTGTAAGCTCCGCCTCCCGGGTTCATGCTATTCTCCTGCCTCAGCCTCCCGAGTAGCTGGGACTACAGGCACCCGCCACCACGACAGGCTAATTTTTTTTGTATTTTTAGTAGAGACGGGGTTTCACCGTGTTAGCTGGGATGGTCACGATCTGACCTAGTGATCCACCTGCCTCAGCCTCCCAAAGTGTTGGGATTACAGGCGTGAGCCACCA